GCCGGAGGGTCCCCTCCAGAGGGGCGACCCGCGCCGGGGTTTAAGGAGGGGAGGCGAAGCCTGGCTTAATCTGCGATGGAGGTTGTGTCGTGTGGGGAGCGGTGACTTCTCTGGTCCCGAAGTGGCCTGTCGGGGCTGGGAGGCAGCGGGATGCCCCCCCCCCCGGCGCCGGGCAGAGCCCCCTCGCCCGCAAGTCTGTGGGATATTTGGGCTTTTAAGTACGTCTTTAGGCAACGCCGCGGGCTGGGCGAGCTCTGGGAGTGCGACTGTGTGCGTCCGTAACACTTCAAGTATTTGTGTTATAGGTAAATATATCTCCGTACTAGTGCATGCGTGTGCAATCCATTTCTTGCCACAGTTATCCCCGTGGTGAGGATGTCACCAGCAAACGAACAAGCTTGCTTCGGAGATATCACTCTTACTTTATTTTTTTTTCTTTTAAAAAATGCTTTTAATTTCAGCTACCGATTTTACAGCTCCTGAAATACTTTTATTTCCCAGATCAGTTGGTTTCTCACCACTGACACTTTTATCTTTTTGAGTGGAGATCTTGAAGATTTACTTTCTTTAAAATAGAGCTCTAACAATACCCACTCCTTTCAGTGAGGCATGTTTTGTTTCCTGACTCTACCAACTTCACTTTGACAAAAAAAGAAAAAGCTGGAAATAACCACTTAAGAGATGCGACTTTCCCTGTTTCAACAAGTTGCTTTATTCTCTGCTCTAGTAATTTCCTCTAAGACGCGCGCTCGTTGTCATTATGTAGATGATGCGGTGATATGCGTGATGTTAAACCTGCAGTCACTGGGGATTAATGCATGGGCATGACATCACCGACAGCCAATGAGGTGGGTTTGGACACGTACTGACCCAAACTGTCTTCCAAACTGATGTGGGGATCCTGCTGTGCTCCTAAGAAATAACACAAGTTTGGAGAAACAGGGTGGTTTCCTAGCACGGTTTCATTGTGTTTCTGACCTGTGCCCTCCTCCGAGACAGGCATGGTTCGTTAAACTGCCACATGCATGTGGTTGATCAAAGGTTTCGCTTCTTGGGAAGAAATTATTGAAAATGGACATATTAGTTCCCTGGTATAGAGATGATGTGGCCGAGCCGGTTGCTGACAGAATATAAACAGCCAGAGTTCTCAGCCCTTGTGGCAGGAGACCTGCCTGAACAGCGTGCTTTAGTGCACAGTGGATTTTCCTGTAGTAAATTGCCTTCTTTGCCTTATTGCTTGGAGTAGAGCTGCTCACGTGGAGGTAGGCACAGCCTGCGTGTCAGGGGAGCGAGGTGGGAAACCGTGCGGCCAGGTGGATGCTGCCGTAGGTAGCTGGCGAGGCAGGAGAGCGCGTGTTTCCCCGCTGGGCTAACGGCGCCTGCTGCGCGCTTGCCTTCACCCCAGGACCTCGGTGCCTCCGTGCTGCCAAGGTCTAGCAGGTTCGAAGTCCTTGGCCTCAGACCCTGTTATGTTGCTGTAGGGTTACTCAAAAACTCAGCTGTCTTGGGGAGCTTTTGCAGAATCACGACAGATGTTGCCAATCATGGCCAGGCTCCTGAAATGTGCATTTCTGAGTTCGGGCTGCATCTTCCGTCTGGTGTTTCCTTAACCTTCATCATTTTGCAGCAGACCCATTCAAGACCCCGCAGCTCTGCGGGGGGCTTCCCCACAGGCTGTGTGAGACCCTTTGTGTCACTATCACAAATACTGGCACACCGATCACATTAGCTTAACTATTTTCTGTTTGCCAGACTTCTTTGGGTTGAATGTAAATTTTGGGGTCCAGAGTTCATCCCTGAAGTATGTTAATATTGTTGTTTGTGATTTATATGTGTGTGCACACACACGCTCCCTTATCAGCACCATTGCATCGATAGCCACTTACATTGAGGGAACCACATAGAATATCAGCAGTACAGCTGACATGCCTCAGAGGTGCATATGATTCTTACGCATTCGATGCCAATAAGACGTGACAGGATACATCTAATGAATTACCTTTAAATTAGAAAGCAGTAAACAAGCCATTATTGGATTAGAGGAATATTAAAATTAGAAGAACGTTACTGTCTTTTGATATCCTGTGGCACATTTTTACTAGCTAGGAAATGACACGGGTTACTGCAGAGAGAGAGAGGGTCTCTAGAGAACTGTAATGATTTTCATCTGTGTGAAATAGATTTTTTTTTTTTAATGCTATTACTTACTGTCTTATGTTTAGATGATGCTGTAGCTTTTTTTTTTTTTTTTTTCCTTCTAGTTTCACACTGATGTTTGCTATCTTTTTTCTGAGTGACTTCAGTGCTTGTGGAAGGTACAGGTTTGATGTATTCTGATAGCTAAAAGCTCCCAATTACTGAAGAAAAAACACAGGCAAAATCATACAAGAGGCTTGGTGATAGATTTCAGCCCAATGCTGAAGAGCTTTCTGCCTTACCCGGGTGCAGAGATAGCCTGGGTCTATGCCACTTATTCCATGGACCCTTTGCTCAGCTGCCTAGAAGGCTGCTCCAGCTCTGGTAATTCTGGGATATGATTTAAATTGCATAAAAAGATCCCCATTGACTTCACTGAGATTTATATAAATTCCCAAAAACTAGATTAAATCCACCAGTTCTCCTGGTCATACATCTCCCTGTGCAGGCGTTACCTGGTATTGCCTGCAGATGTGACTGCTCTGGATTAGATCTGAATTGGCAACCGGTTGGTGGTACTTGTGTGGAGCAGCTCCTGGTCTCCCCATGCCAAGCTTTTATTAATCCAAGGCCAACACCTGCTGTTCTCTCTCAGGCAAGCTGCCCAGCTAAGAACTGGGCTTTAAGTGGCCAGTACTCCTCAAGTGTTAGAAAAAAATGTCCACTTAAGAGGTAAACAGTAAAATATTTGATGGGAAGCAGTTAATTCTCAGGTTCACGAAAAATAAAGCTTCTTATCAAATCTTGAAGCTATTGTGGTTTTGCGATGCCACCTAGCTCTGTTGGCCAATGAAAATCCTAATCTAGAAGAAAACTTGAATTTGTGGGTGTAAAAAGTTGTTTTGTTTGGAATATCAATCCTTAATAACACTCTAAGACAAATATTTTGTTCTTTTTAACTCACTGTCAATATGAATATGGAGCAACGAGATACCTTGGAGTGCTAAGCCTCATTCCAGTCTCCTGAGGAAAGTCTTGAGGATACTGTTTTGTCCTGGAGTTTGGAAGCATATTCAGAATAAAGACTTCTCCTATATATATACTTTTCATCTAAGGTATTGGATTTTCCTTATCTCTCTCTCACAGTTTATGGCCCTGGGACTCCTTGCCTCCTCTCAAGGTCTAGTAGGAGAACTCCCTCAGCATCACTTTTTCCCTTTGAAAAATTTGATAGCCATCATGCAAGCGGTTGTTTTGAAGCTAGTGCCAACCCTGCAGATCATAAGATCACAGCACACTTTCACCTGAGGTTAGGCAGTGTGATGTGAGCTGCTTTGCAGTGGCAAAGCATCCTGAATACTTGCAAGCTATGGGGATTTCTATTGGTCTATGAGTCACTGAAGCCTCTTTACTATTCTAAAGAGGCTTATAAAGAGGAACAAAGGACTGCAGATTTCACCTATTTTGCTTTATTTTATATTTTCCAGCAATTATTTTGGAAAGGCTGTGAGCTGAAAGGCTGATTTTCTCTGACTTGGTACAACTATGCCAGAGTAAAGCTCAAATGTAGGAAAGTTGTATTGGGTATCTCAGTGACTCAAAAGGTGACCTGTTGTTTTTATTGCCCCTTCCATTGTGTTTCGATTTCAGTTACACTTTACAGGGAACATCTATGGAATAAAATCTCTGGTGGGGTCAGGCCTTTCTCCTCAGAAGGTATTTCCCTCTGCACAACATCAGTGCAAGTTTTCTCCTTCCCTTCCTCCTTCCTTTAAAATGTGTCACAAGTGCTGCGAGACATAACAACCAAGGATAAATGTATTAATGGGCAGCAATCCTGGCCTCGGTGTTACATCATGGTAAAAGTCTGGTTAAAGAACTTAGCCCCCAAGCCTCGATGCAGAGCTCTTCCCCCTTTCTGTTCTTCAACCAGCCACTTGCAAAGCACAACTCAGTCGTACGTTACATCCTTCTGAACTGAAGGACATGGTGTAACTGGCGTCAGCCTGGGACTTGCTGGTTCTGGATGCAACTAACCCCTCAGAAGGAGAAGGGCAGGACTCTGATGCTTTAGCTCTTAAAGCATTCATAGGCTTCTTTTTTTTCCTAGCCTAGAAGAAACTGCTAACTAAACCAGAAGCAGCTAAGTAGTGCCTGAACATGGATAAACCAGTTAACACGAGTTCTTTTAGCTTTTTTAAACAAATTGCAAATTCAGGTTCATATTTGCATGATTCAGCTTATTAATTAATGTGTTTGCATTTCCTAAACTGTGTGCCAAATTCCCATTTGGCGCAAGTTTCAGTGTTAATCTCAGTGTAAAGGGGAAAAGGAGGATATTTAGTTGTTGTGGGCAGCATTGAATGGTTAGTGGTTTTTCTTTTCAACAAAATTAAATGAACTTTTTTTTTTTTTTTTTTTTCTCTGAGTCATTTCAGTGTCACCTCAGTTATTCAGTGGGAAATCTGGAAATCCTTAATTGATAGGGTACCCAGTCTTTCATATGTGCATCTCTGGGATTTATACATATTGCAAGTTAATAAAGCTTCCAGCATAGATTCTGTGCGTGTGTAATTAAGGAGTGACTATACTTCGATGTCATTTGCTGTGTTATCTTGATTTCAGTTATGGGGATGATGGTATTTTATGTTGTCATATATAAGCAGGAATATCCCTGCATAAGTGAATCTGTTTGAAGGACCAGGCTGTGGCTGTTTTAGCCTACAGAACATAGTTACCCTCGGATTTCTTTGCTGCTTCCATTATTCAATGAGAATTATGTGTG